AACCCAGTTATACTTTTGGCCTTCACAACATCCCCTGGCAATGAGTTCCACCAGATGATCTTTTCTTTTGCTTTATTGAATATTGATGTAAAATTGCTTCAGACCTTGTCCCTTTCCCCCTTCAATTCTCAAATATTGATATAAAATCCCATCAAATTTGGCCCATTTTCTCTCTATTAAAATATTGATGTAAAATTTCCTGAGATTTTGCTTTTTTCCCCCTCTGATTCTATAATGTTGATATAAAATCCCCTTCTATTTGGTCCCCCTTCTATCTATTGAACATTGATTACAAAAGCTCCATAATTTTAAGACTCCTTTTCCCTCCCATTTCAAACTGCACTTTACTTTCGCTTTTGGAAGGAAACAGTTGGCCTGAGTCGGTTCCTCAGGGGGCTTATGTCACATGGTGAGTCTGTGGGGAGATCTGGGACTAGAATCCAGATCACCTGAGTCCCAAACCAGGAGTCCACTGACCAGAGCCATGTGTCTGTGGGGAACTGTACCTTTAAGAGTGTCATCATCCATCCCTGTCAAGGGAGTAGCTTCCCTTGGGATATTTAGTTTTATATTCAACTCAGTTTATATGATCTGCTCCTAAATTTCCTGCTGTCAAGAACTACAGTTTAACGGCATTGCGGATATTAGTTATCGGATGGTGTCATAGAAACTGGAGATTTTATCAGCTCGATAGCAAACCATAACTTGTCGAAGGTTTGAGACAAATTCCCCATAGAATTAATGTTATATTAATTTAAATGGAATATGTGAACCCTTGATTAAAAAGGGCTCATCATTGTCCAACATTGAACAGTTTACTAAACAAGGTTCGGGGTTTGGTATACAAAAATCTCAACCTGCTTAGTACCATGGCAAACCCATAGCAATTAAAAATCCCTTTAAGCTTTTATGAAAGGTACCGAAAAGAAGGGAAACCAATTAAAGCATTTGAAATAGAAAGTATTAAGGCTTTCATTTGAACAGCATTGCTTGTTCCCTTTCCCTTTAGCTGTAGAGTCTTTTTATAAAGAACCCACCACCCCCGTTTGACAGTCTTTATATGGTATTAAAGAAGCTAATAACTATCCTCTTTTGGGAGAACGACAGGAAAGGTTAGTTGAGAGAGCCTGGAGCTACTGCTAAAGTCTGAGCGGCTCCTTCCTAAAAGACAAAACAATAAAACACGCACAAGAAGTAAAAATAAAGAACAGCAATGAGAGAAAATGCAGCTTTTGTCTTTGGTGTTACCTCTCACATGTGACCTCTGCTGGAGAAACACAGACATAGATCTTATTAGCCACTCCAAGACCTGGCAAATTTGAACCAGCGTTGGGCTGGGATAGGGCATTGATTTTAGCTGCCTCTTTCTTGTCACAGGCTTACAGCAGTGTTGCAAAATAAACAGTTTTAAACAGAAGGCAAAAGAAGAGGGACAGGAAAGAAAAGAAGTAAGGTGAGGAAGTAAAAGGAGGCACATGGAGTTGGGGAGACAAAGTCTCGCATTGCGGTTTAGGAATTAGCTGGAGACCGTAGGCGTAGAAATGTCATCTGGGTCCCTCTCTCCAGCCCACTGGTCTGGACATCTCTCAGGATCAGGATAACAAAAGCCCAATGAGGTTATGGTGGATCCCCAGAGTCTCAGGAGACGGTGTGATGGTGAAGCTTGCACTTACTAGAAGTGAGGTTTTTACCCACGAAAGCTTATGTCCAAATAAATCTGTTAGTCTTTAAGGTGCCACCAGACTCCTTGTTGTTTTTGTAGATACAGACTAACACGGCTACCCCCTGATACTTGCTCCTTACTGTTCTCCTGTCTTTGTCAGCCAACGTTGCCGTTGTTTTTCCTCCTAAAGTCTTTTCTTTTAAGGAGCCCAAAAGGGAAGGGTGGGTAGCATATCTCATCTCCTCATTATTTTGTCCACCAGTTAGGTCTAATTTCTGACCACTTTTGGTTTCTTGTTTAACCAGGCATGATCTTAACACAGTCCTTGAGTTATATCGGTAGGCTTTTTTGCTTAGACTGATCAAGTCTGTTTGTCTTTCTTTTACACCTTTACCCATCAACATTTATAGTTATAGGATATTGTAACACTTTTATCCGTTTCCCCCCCGTTAGGCTTACAAATGGGGTGGTCCTACCAGGCCCCAATCATCATTGGGGGACTCTAATGTGAACACCAGGAGTTTACCTACCCTGAGAAAATGCATCGTTTTAGAAAATGGGTTGACTAACACAACACTAAGTAGCACTTAGATGCTTTTCAAAATCTCACCCCAAATTACTTAGTAGCACAAATTCCACTGAAACTCAATGAGTCTTAAGTCTCTTTGGTTCTTTTGCAAATCACAACAGTAGTGCCTTGTATAGAGACTAACAACTGTATTTAAAAATGTCTGAGCTGGTTCTGCCCAATGGCCAGCTAGCATGATTTTAAACAGGACTGTTCGTGTCTGTGCTAGCTGCATAGTCGTGTTTAGTTTTATGTTAGTTAAAATACAATTTTTTATAACCAGGATGTCTTTTCTCACTGTGGACAAACCCAAGGGGGTAATTTGGCCCAGTACATAGGGTGAGATTTGTTGAAGGTAAAAATAGGCTAAAATAGGGTTACAATATTTCAGCAAGCAAAAAAGAGGACGGGAGGAGCCCCGCCCTAGCCCCGCCCCTCCCACTTCCCGCCCCCCAGAACCCCCGACCCTCCTCCCGTTCCTTGTCCCCTGACTGCCCCCTCCTGGGACCCCTGCCCCTAACTGCCCCCCAGGACTCCACTCCCTATCTAAGCCTCCCTGCCTCTTGTCCCCTGACTGCCCCAACCCTTATCCACACCCCCACCCCCAGACAGATCCCTGGGACTCCCATGCCCCATCCAACCACTCCCCACCCCTTGACAGCCCCCCCCCAGAACTCCCAACCCATCTAAACCCCTCTGCTCCCTGTCCCCTGACTGCTCCGAACCCTCTCCACACTCTTGCCCCCTGACAGCCCCCCCCAGAACTCCCAACCCATCTAAACCCCTCTGCTCCCTGTCCCCTGACTGCTCCAATCCCTCCCCCCACTCCTGCCCCCTGACAGCCCCCCCCAGAACTCCCAACCCATCTAAACCCCTCTGCTCCCTGTCCCCTGACTGCTCCAATCCCTCC